AACAAAGGCAAATCCATGTCCTTACAGACTTAAGGTAAGGAGAGGTCAGTGATGCACATGCCTTCGCAAGCTTGCTGCAAAATTCCTTGGCAAAAGAATAGAAAGGCTGGGCTGGGAAGGTGGCTCAGTGGTAGAGCGCTTGCCTTGCATGCCTGAGGCCCTGAGTTCGACTCCTCAGCACCACATAAGCAAAAAGAAAAAAGCCGGAAGTGGCGCTGTGGCTCAAGTGGTAGAGCGCTAGCCTTGAGCTGAAGAGCTGAGGGACAGCACCCAGGCCCAGAGTTCAGGCCCCACGACTGGACCAAACAAACAAACAAAAAAAGAAAAACAAGAATTGAAAGTCTGGGCCCATGGGGGGGGGGCAAGGGAGGGGGTGTGGAGTTGTTTTAAAATATGTCAGCTTTCCCACAATTTCATTCTACTTAATCTCAATGACTCACGCTAAGGCAGAACTATAGTTTTGATCAGCCAAAAACATTTTAATTAGCTTAAATTGTTGGAGTTAGCACAATTGTTTTTGCACTAATGGTTGGTGATTGATCGGAAGACCCTACAAATATAGGCTCTGGCTTTTGACAAAGCTCTGCCGACACCTTTCTGTACTAAGGAAAAGACAGAGAGATCCCGTTCCCTGTAGAACAGGGCTCCTCTTCCTGGCCTGGGACTGAGGCTATACTCCACCCAGGACACTGAAGCAGGGCCAGCACCCAGCTCAGGGAGATCCTCTGCTCTTTGACCTCACCACCCCTATTAGACAAGAAGGTGGCTCTAAAAGGCTCCAAGGGAAACACACACACACACACACACACACACACACACACACACACACACCTCCCCCGCCACTGCTCACTCCCTCCCATCTCATTGGATGCAAGATTCTTGGGAAAAAAAAAACCCTTTCAAGGGAGCAGGGACACAATGGTGGTCACCAGTGGCTTTTCTAAGACTTTTTTTTTTTTTTTTTGCCGGCCCTGGGGCTTGAACTGTAGACCTGGGCACTGTCCATGAGCTCTTCAGCTCAAGGCTAAGCGCTCTACCACTTGAGCCATGGCACCACTTCCGGCTTTTTCTTTTTATGTGGTGCTGAGGAATCGAACCCAGACCTCATGCATGCAAGACAAGCACTCTACTGCTGAGCCACCTTCCCGACCCATCTAAGACTTTTAAACGCTAATGCTCAAGACCCACTCCAGAGAAACTCACTGCATTGGAAAGAGACAAACCCAGATAGTGTTTTCAAAGCTCAAGACATTCTAAAACTAGCTGGGTGCCAGTGGGTCCTTACTGCAATTCTTGCTGCTTAGCAGGTTGAGCACACAAGTGTCATATGGCTGAAGTGTTAGGAGTGTCAATCTGAGCAGAAAAGCTGAGCATGAGCTCAAGGCTATGAGTTCAAGCCCCAGTACCAGCACGTGCACGTGCGTGCACACCCCCCACACACACACACATAACAAGATATTCTAACAAGATATTCTAAGGTAGGTGGAGAGCTACACTACAGCTCTTTCTGAGGTAATAGTTTCAAAGGTGCCCTTCAACACATCCAGTGAGGGGCACATGTCAGTAGCTCAGAGGGAAACAGTAAGGATGGTGGGGTGATGGTCTGCTCCTCCCAGACAAACCCAAGACACATCTCCATCTCTGGAGACCTTAATTTCATCCACACAGTCCTAACATGATTACCATTTAGAGGCAACGCAGTAACAAAGACTTATTGACTAGGCCACTTGAGGTGAATTTTGAGGAATAGCAAAATTATTTACCCATTCATTAACTGAATCCTCAAGATTTCATTTTGATGCTGGCCAAATGCCAAAGCATCTGCCTTAAACGGACTACCAGCAGCTATGCTGGTACAGAGCTCTGCAACATGAGATAGGTCAGATTCCTAGTCCCACCAAGCCTGAGGCATGGGGAAACAGTTTTCCCTGGGCACAGATGCATCTCTAGAGCCCCTGGTCCTCTCAAGAATATACCACCATTACCCTGGGAGGATACCTGGTTATGAGGGTAGTAAATAAAGGTCCACATCACTTACAGCTTTCATCACAAAGAGCACAGAGCACCTGACATCTCTAACACAATCTCATGAAATCAGTAAGTTGTTTCTACATTTATGACTGCTGAATTTTTTTTCTGGAGCATTCATCTCTATCCAGCACTCTGCTTTGTGGCATTAAGGAGCTATACTCCTGCAGAAGCCTAGCAAAACCACTCTAGACACAAGTGACACTGTACTTGTCTTCAAGTCCAGCCTAAGTTATAAAGAACCTAACTACTATATTCTGCCTTAAATTCCAGACACTAATCAAGACCGAACCACAATGCCAGTATTCCTGTGGGGGAAAGGTACAGGAATTAGCTTCAGTGCTACTGATGTAGCTGTGTTTAACCAGGCCAGTTTGATACAAAACAAAGCCATTTTTTTGCAGTGGGGTCCAGTCATGGGGCCTGAACTCTGGGCCTGGGCGCTGTCCCTCAGCTCTTCAGCTCAAGGCTAGCGCTCTACCACTTGAGCCACAGCACCACTTCTGGCTTTTTTTTTCTTTTTGCTTATGTAGTGCTGAGGAATCGAACCCAGGGCCTCAGGCATGCAAGGCAAGTGCTCTACCACTGAGCCACCTTCCCAGCCAAAACAAAGCCCATCTTTATAAGACAGTCACAAAAGACCACATATTGTGTGATTCCATTTACATAAAATATCCAGCAGAGACAAATGTAATTCCACAGAAAGTGGATAAGAAGTTGCTTAGAAGGGAATGGGGAGGGGCTAGATGCTGATGGATATGGAGCCTCTTTTGGAAATGAAGAAATGCTCTTAAGTTAACTATGGTCTTAACTACCCAACAGTGGACATATATTGAATTGTATACTTACAAAAATACATTTCATGTTGGACACTTTTTTAACTGTTTTAAAAGAAAAATAATAGGTCTTAGCATTAAGCCAGGGGATTTGGGCTTTAGACAGTCACAAACCTGTTAGAAGTATGCATGTGTGTATGCGCACAATCTCTCATGTGTAAAATGCCTCTTCGGTCAGGACACAGTTCTTGGCCCTTTGGTGCTTAAATCCAGGCAAACAGGATATCAACAGAGCCAGAGCTCTGCCTACAAATGCCATGCTCCTTACTGTGGTAATGGGTCACCTTGGAGGTGGGTGGTCCTGGGAGAGGGGGCCACACATTGCCACCTAGGGGAGGAGCAGGGAAAGGGAGGGTACTACCCAGGCAGATGGGTGAAAATTTCAGCTCTAATCCTTGTATGACCCAAGTAGGAAGACCATACTAACGTTTAATAGGTTCTCCCCTATCGCTCACTAGTCTGCAGGGACTAACTCATTACGGAATAAATACCTCCATAATGGAGAATTTATGGACATAGGAAAGTCCTTACAATGAAATAAGTACCTGGGAAGCACTGCTTCCTTCCCCTTAAGAGAATGCTCACAAGCTGTAGCACAGGGAATCTTATAAGGACCCTAGAAAGTGAAGGCAATTTACTAGAGATCTAGTTCACTCTAAATTGATAATGAATACTTATAGGTATCAGTAGGATTATGGTCTATGTGAGACTCTATCTCAAAGTAACCAGTGCAAAAACAGTACATCTTAGTGCTTGTCTCAAACACACAAGACTCTTGAGTTTATTCCCCAGAGCCACCACGTAGACTAATCTGCAGACTGATTCCTAATATGCATGGCACCAGGTGCTGTGGGAAGAGATGAGACACAGTGACGGAGCCCTCAGGCTCTCATTTGGTACCTAAGAGATAGCTTCCATTGTTCCCAAGATGATGGACACACCTGAGACCACCTGCCCCCCACCTGCCAGCAATAGATAATACATACGGCTGCTCAAATTCATGTAACCTCGTGTTTTTCCTTACAAATAAGCACAAATAAAGAAACAAAGCCCAACAAGCTCAGCTGGGATGGAGACAGGAATTGGTCAGAGAGAACAGATGGGGATCCTCTGGTACCTGGGGCCCCATGACTCAAGACTATGTGAAGCCAAGAATAAGCAGGCCTTAAGCAGAGGGCACTGCCAATGCACCTCCTCCTCAGACTGTGCAGAGCAATTTCTGTTCAGAGACCTCCCACATTTCCCCACCCCATCAGCTTAGCCTTTCCCAGTCACTAACCGGCAGGTGGCTATCTCTTTAGCTCAGTGCATCACTCTCTCAGAAAGAGAAATAGGAAAGGCAAATCTAAAAAGACTGAAGAGAAGCAGATTATGCCTCCTAGGGGCTGAGGTTAGAATGGGTAATAATGGTAAATGAGCATTTATAGAAATGTTCTAAAATTGGGGACAAGTGAAATGGTGAATACCATAATCCTAGCTCTCAGAAAGCAGAGATAGAGAAGATCAGGGCTGTAGGCCAGCTCTGAAACCATATCAAGAACCCATCTCAATCATCAAGCTAGGTATAATCGGGTACTGGTGCCTCATGCCTATAATCCTACCTACTCAGGAAGCTGAGATCTGAGAATCATAGTTTGATCCTCATCAGATTACAGGAAGACAAATCCAAGAGCCTCTTATCTCCAATTAACCAGTGAAAAGCTGGAGTAAAGATGTGACTAGTGAGAGAGTGCCAATCTTGATTGAAAAAAACAAGTGAAGCATGAGGCCCAGAGTTCTAGCCCCAGTAGCAACAGCAAACAAAAAACAACTGGTTAGACCACACCTAAAATCCAAGCTATAAGAGACATAGGTAGAAGGATTAAGGTCTGAGGAAAAAGTGCAGGATTCTATTCTATCCAAAAATTAACTGTAACAAAAAAGGACTGGGGGCATGGCTCAATGACAGAGCAAGAGCACCTGCCTAGCAAGTACAAGGCCCTGAGTTCAATTCCTCCAAACATCATTGATTGTATACTTAAAAAGACAATTCCACAGTACGCAAATTATGCCAACAGAGTTGTTAATTTTTAAGTGCCTCCCTAACTAAAGTCTAGAGACACAGTTTTGTTGAAAACATGAAAAAACAAATAGATGATACATGTGTTCAGAATTCCTTCAACTTTAATTGTGAGAGTAACACTGGGCAGCCATGAGGATAAAATTCAGTCCTGGACGCAATCGCAAGGCTGTTTTTTGTTTTGTTTTTGCTTTTTGGTAGGTAGACATGATCGAGTGCTTTCTTCCATTAGTACAGGTTGTCAAAAGTTGCCAAAATGTCCTCATTCCTCGATTGTCTCTTTCTTGCCAGTCTCTTGTCCTTCAAAGAGAGGGTACCTGGCCTCCACGTCTGCCCACGTGATGCTGCCATTAGCCAGATTGCGGACCACGATGGGCAGCTCAGACACCTGGATGAGGAGGAACAAAAAGTCCACTTTAGAGTTTCAAAAAGAGATTCTCCCTCAACTCTGAAATCACATAGACAGCCAAAGCCTGACTATGAGATGACAGGTCCCTCTAAAAATGGAGTCTCAGCTGAAAGCTGGTGGCTCACGCCTGTAATTCTAACTGCTCAGGAGGCTGAAATCTGAGGATAACAGTTCAATGGCAGCCTGGAGCACCAGAAAACCAGGAAATGGAGCTGTGGTTCAAAGGGAGAACACTAGCCTTGAGCAAAGCAGCTCAGGGACAGCACCCAGGCCCTGAATTCAAGCCCCACAACCAACAACAACATCAAAAAAACGGAGCCTCAATGTTTCTATGATGCGCTGACCCTCTTTGCTACATTAGACCCCCTCCTTCATAGCCTGGGCTCTACTCATCCCGGCCTAAGCTCCTGCTCATTCCAGCACACACAGTTCACCAGCTCCTAGTAATCCAATCCTGCACAAAGCAGTCCAAACTCTCTTCCCTGTCACTTGAAGTTACTTCACATGTGTTAAATTTAACTCCCGAAGTCAACAATGTAACTCTTAGAGAATGAAGGGCCAGCTCTTCTCCTGTTGTCAGCAAATGCAGCCTGTCCTCCAGCAATAGTTCTGCTGCAGCAGAAATCCCACTATCTGTCCCTCTTCACTTCTGATTTAGCGAGTTTTGGGTGGAGGTCCTGTCATCAATCTAACAAGTTCCCTGGCAATGCTGTGAGTCACAGCTAGATGAGAATGAGAATATGAATCCAAAGTAGCCAGCTCTACAGCTTTATGGGAGTGAGCAGGTAGTTGCAGGAGGTTGTTTTTATGCTGGTCCTGGGGCTTGAACTCAGGACTTGGGCATTGTACCTGAGCTTCTTTTGCTCAAGGCTGGTGCTCTATCATTTGAACCATAGCTCCACTTTTGGCTCTTTGGTGGTTAATTGGAGATAAGAGTTCCCTGGAGGGTTGGGAAGGTGGCTCAGTGGTAGAGCGCTTGCCTTGCATGCATGAGGCCCTGGGTTCGATTCCTCAGCACCACGTAAGCCGGAAAAAAAAAAGCCAGAAGTGGCACTGTGGCTCAAATGGTAGAGTGCTTGCCTTGAGCTGAAGAGCTGAGGGACAGTGCCCAGGCCCAGAGTTCAGGCCCCACGACCGGACCCAAAAAAAAAAAAAAGTTCCCTGGATGTTCCTGCCCAGGTTGGTTTCAATCTGGGATCCTTGGATCTCAGCCTCCTGAGTAACTAGGATTACAAATGTGAGTCACAGGCACTTGGCTAATGGTTTTTGTTTCTTTATTAAAAAAACAAACACAAGCCAGAATCAGGTCTGTCTCCAGGAAAGTGAAGTTGGACCAGGCAGCTTGTGCCTGTGATCTCAGGAAACCTTATGCAGGCAAACTGAGACTCAAGTACATGGCTGGGTAGGAAGAGAGACCCTATCCTAAAATAACCTGTGGAAAACAGGGCTGAAGCATGGCTCTGCAGTATCATGATAGCCTAGCAAGCAAGCATGAGGTCTTGAGTTCAAATCCCAATATCAGCAAAAAACAAAAAACAAGCCCACCAGAAATCTAAGCCCTGTGAACTCCGTTGGGGGGGGTGGTAGGGGAAGCAGTTTTTACCTTTATTTTCCCTACTGTAACTTTTTATGTTGAGTTAAGCATGACAGGCAGTAATAGATACCTGTTCCAAGTTAACAAACCAGCCCAGCGCGTGTCGCTTGCTGCCAAAGCAGCTTTCCCCTTTGTTGTTTGCCCCCTCCCATCAATCCCATCAGTAGTTCACTGAGTGAACTACTATTTGCACAAGGTTTTTATATGCACATGTAGATGCTCCTATAGAGATACAAAGAAAAAAATGCCTAAGGCCCTAAAGGCTTGCCAATAAAACTATGGCAACAGCCTCAGGCGGTCACATTTCTCCTGCCCAATAAAGAAACAACTATAAAATCAAACTGTCAAAGCCTGAGCCCAGAGCAATCCAAATGCTATATAATATTAGAGGAGCACTAATGGGTATTTTCATAATTAAACCAAATGTCTTTGGGAACCTGGGCTTTGTCTGATACAAGCTTATCATTAAAACCACAAAGAAAAAAAGCAACAGAAGCATAAATCTATCAATCTCCAACTCCAACCAGGAGATGCAAAGCACAAAGCTAAGCAAAACACAAAGCTAAGCAAAGCTGAAGATGCCAAACGAAAGATGTTACCTCTGCCCTGATCTGACGCATGGAGTCTCGGTCCCTCAGAGTTGCTGTGTGAGGGGTTTTGTTCACTGTGTCAAAGTCAATGGTGATGCCGAAAGCCACGCCAATCTCATCGGTCCTAGCGTAGCGCCTTCCAATGGACCCAGAGGAATCATCCACTTTATGAGAAACACCATTCTTGGTCAAAGCTTCCGCTACCCAAAATAAACATAGTATGTTTAAAATAAAATAACATAGAAAGTCTTATCTTCAACTGAGTGAAGTCTGACAAGCCCAGAAAACTTATGAAAGGCATCAAAACATGAGAGTAACAAATGCCAGGTAACAAGTATAAGAGGAACCAAACTCCTGGAGCTTGAGCCTCTGCACCCAATGGAGCAGAGTACTGAAAGGGGAGAAGAGGCGAAGTGGACAGTGCTGACTCCACCACCGCCACCTGCCCAGGGCTGAGTGGCTCAGCAGGGGCTGCCCATGTGCCAACTCAGAAGTAATGGCAGTACCACCGGACCCATTGCCCCTTTTGGCACTGAGGGCTCATGGCTACTGGTCCATAGCAGTACCACTCTCCCCTGGGTCCCCAGGGGAAGTCTGCAACAGGGTCAGTGTGAGAAGCCAGGGTCACTCTCAGTCAGACTCTTGAGTCCCTGACTCACCCAGGGCCAAGATACCTTGCTCAGGTACCCTCTTCCCCCAGTAACCAGTGATGAAATCACTCCACCCGCAGTCACTGGGTCTGTGTGAGGGTGTCACCATAGATTCACTTACACAATTCCTTGACAAATGGCATGAACTCCTGGTTCTGGCTCAGGGGAAGGACGGAACACTTGAATGGAGCCACCATAGCAGGGAAACTGAAGAACTAGATGGTTTAAAAAGAAAAAAGTCCAAATATGTTAGCTCATAAGTATCTGAATGTCAGTGTTCCCTGAGTGCATGCATATGTAAGCACAACCTCACCATCAATGATAGAAAAATGCCACAGAAAAGCAGCAGAACAACATAGAAACCAGAGGAGAGCCAGAACCAGAAGTACCTGACTTCAGCTCTGAATCTGACCCAACTTGGTTAACTGTGTTAGTTTCTTCACATAAAAGGCAGGTCTATGCCACCTGCTCCACTCTCTTCCCAGGTCTGTTTTATATAAAGTCCAGTAAAATGAGTGAGCTCTGAGTGTCCTAGAGAAACCTCTCACTTCTTTCTTTTTTTTTTTTTGTCAGTCGTGGGGCTTGAACTCTGGGCCTGGGCGCTGTCCCTCAGCTCTTCAGCTCAAGGCTCTACCACTTGAGCTACAGCGCCACTTCCCCTCTCACTTCTTTCTATGGGGCCAGCTAATGAATCCCCCCAAAGCCAAATAACAAATAAAATATAAACTCCTTAAGAAAAGACTCCATGAGTCAATGAAAGCAGAAAAGTAATTAGCTCACAGAATTTTGGTACAACAGAAATAGTACAGAACAAACCCCTCACTCTGCACACCTATCTATACTGAGAAGTCCAGCCTCCCACACTGCTCCCACATGACGCTTCTGAGTAAGCTGAGCTCAGAGACAGAAAATGCTCTGTGCAAGACAATCTAGCTGGCCATTTGGGGTTAGAAATGAGAGCTGAAGGCAGTTCTTAAATAATATTTATATAATACTTGAAAGGTAAGCATAGAAAACTTGGAGGGAATCTGTCATATAAAAACAACCTATGGTAGAGGTTTAGTTCCAGTTGGGTCCCCACTCCAAGTTTAATTAACCGTAAATGCCAAGCAATGATGACTATTCTTCTGTGAGCCTTGTACTCCAGAAGTGTGCACGTGACCACCACAGAATGGTGGGGGCCCCTCCTCTCCTCTACCTGCATCATTCTGCTTCCTAGAAGACAAGCAGTCTTTCCAGAAAATATACTGCATGTGTATGTGTGTGTATGCTGGTCCTGAGGCTTGAATTCAGGGCCTAGACACTGTCCCCAAGTTTTTTGCTCAAGGCTAAATAAAACTCTACTACTTGTGTCACAGCTCCACTTTGGCTTTTTTGGGCGTTTTTTTTGGTGGTTAATTGGAGCTAAAAGTCTTATGGACTTTCCTGCCCAGGCTGGCTTCCAACTGTAATCCTTAGATCTCAGCCCTCTAAACAGCTAGGATTATAAGCATGAGACACCAGCACCTGGCTAGAAAATATACTTTTTAAATTTCACTAGCAATGTTTTTCTATCAAATTTATAGGCAAATGGATTAAGAAACCGTGTTAATAATTTAGAAACATTTCTGGCTTCCTGCAGCTTAATCAAATTTTTCTTCATGATGGGATTCTATGCAATTCATAAAACACTGTGGTAATTTATTCTTGTTTAGCCCTTATGAAATGCCTATTAAAGTTCATGTCACATCAATCATGTTAGATTCAAGGGAACAACTAAAATTTTTTCTTAAAACCTTTTTTATTAGGAAAAATAACCAGGAAAAGCTCAAAGCAAATCTGGCATCTAAAAAGAGCAGCTACTGTTACGTGCATCACCATTTCTCACTTGTACACCTAGCTGGTACCCAAACCCAGGATTTTACTATCACTGCTCAAAGAAGGAAGAGCTGATCCTTCACATCAGGAAAATTAAAGTGATTAAAGAGATTAAAGTGCAACTTCATTAGCCACATATTAGCCAGAGCCTTTAAAACAGTGGTATGGAATCACCCCAGCTCATTCTTCATGTCTCAATGCCCTGGAAAGAACCAGGTTGCCATCCAGCACTGAGCCTCTTAGCCAGCAAATCTTCCTTCAACTAACCTAAGCCTCTCTTTGCTAGCCATCCTCCAGACTGATTCCCCTGGAAATGTCCACCTAGAGGCTCAAGAAGAACAATTTCTGCAGACAGAGGTGAGTATGGAAAAGCAAAGCATGGCAGAATGAAGAGGTAAGAATGAGGAGAGACCTTGGCACAGGCCGAAATTTTCTTAATAGAGACTCAAAAACACAACAAATCAAAGAAAGGTTGGACAAATGGGATTGCATGAAGCTGCAGAACTTCTGCATGGCAAAGGACATAGCTAGCAAGATCAATAGAAAGCCCACGAATTGGGAGATCTTCACTAGCCATACAACAGACAAGGGTCTCATATCTAAAATATACCTAAGAACTCAAAAGATTAAATCTCCCAACAACAAATCGTCAAAGAAACAACTTCCCAATAAACAAGTGGGCTAAAGACTTAAAGAGAAACTTCTCTAAAGAGGAAGTAAGAATGGCCAATAGACACATGAAGAAATGCTCAACCTCTCTAGCCATAAAAGAAATGTAAATCAAAACAACATTGAGATACCACCTCACCCCAGTCAGAATGGCTATAATCAAGAATTCTAATAACAACAGATGCTGGAGGGGATGTGGACAGAAGGGAACCTTACTGCATTGGTGGTGGGAGTGTAAACTTGTTCAACCACTTTGGAAAGTAGTATGGAGGTTCCTCAAAAAGCTCCACAGAGAGCTCCCCTATGACCCAGCAATCCCACTTTTGGGCATTTACCCAAATGATCACAAACAAGACCACACTAAAGATACCAGCAGGACTATGTTTATTGCAGCCTTATATTTACCATAGCTAAGATATGGAACCAACCCAGATGTTCCTCAGTGGATGAATGGATCAAGAAAATGTGGTATATACACAATGGAATTCCATAATTCCATCAGAAAGAATAACATCGCCTCATTTGTTAGGAAATGAAAAGACTTGGAAAAAAATTATATGAAGTGATGTAAGCCAGACCCAAACAAACATAGGTCCCATGTTTTCCCTTATTTGCAATAACTACTATATGTCTGAGACAAGCAGAAAAGGTCAGGTAAGTTGATGCTAGGTGAAATGAACCCCAAGACAAGTATTCAAATGTTTTTTCTTTCATGCGATTGTTTCTAACATATTTATAAGATGATTTCTTTGTTGCTTTGTATGTCCCTCCCCCACAGTATAATCCCTATTTTTACTGTATTTGATGTTGGTATAATTTGGGGAGGGGAAGGGAAAAAACAAAGTGTTTAAATAATAGGGATACAGATTGACCCATTACAACAATGAGATGTTCAAGACGATATGTCAAAAAACGAACTTTGCAGTTTAGGCAGGAGGGGGTGGGGTGGGGAGAAGGGGGTAGCTGAGGAGGTGGGAGGGAAGGGATGGTAGGGGAAAAACAGGAGGAGGCAACAATGCTGGATAAGAAATGTACTCATTATCTTGCTCATGTAACTGTAACCCCTTTGTAAGTACTTTCACAATAAAAAAACTTAATTAAAAAAAAAAAGAATGAGGAGAGAATGGAAGGCATGGGGCCAGGATACAGATACATCAACATCAAAAGAAAAGTTGTGAGAGTTGATGAAGCTTCCTACAAGCCTCTACATACAAGTCCTGGATGCCAGGAGAGCCATCTCCAGGTATTGTCATTCAATTTGTGATCCGACCATCTCACAAACTGAAATCATGTGGGGTTCTTACTCACAAAGCAAAAAAAGCCCCCAGGCCCCTGGGTGTCAGACATAAAGAATCAATTTCTTTTTGTGTGTGTGTGGGGGGGGGGAGGTGTCAGGTTGTAGGGCCTGAACTCTGGGCCTGGGCCTTGTCCCTCAGCTCTTCAGCTCAAGGCTAGCGCTCTACCACTTGAGCCACAGCGCCACTTCTGGCTTTTCTCTTTTTGCTTATGTGGTGCTGAGGAATCGAACCCAGGGCCTCAGGCATGCAAGGCAAGCGCTGTACCACTGAGCCACCTTCCCAGCCCAAGAATCAATTTCTTAAAACTTCATCATGTATATCTCTATTCTAAAAGTACCAAGAAAATGTTAATGTGGGTTGTGACAGTTTGAGTACTGTATGAGTACATATGTCCAGTCAGGTGGGTTTTTTCTTTCTTCTTTTTTTTGGCAGTACCGGGGATTGAACTCAGCAGCCTCATGCTTGGTCTACTACTTTTACCAGCATCACTTATTTCCAAGGGAAGGTCTGGCTTTATGCCCAGACTTGCGACTTGCCTGGGATCCTACTTGTGCCTCCCTATGTCACTGAGGATGACAAATATGTGCCACTGGGCCCAGCCATTGTGCTTTTCCTGCAGCTAAGACAACAGGTAGATGCCACAGAGCCCAGCCAGTGGTGGAGATGAGGTATGCCTGAGCTGGCCTCAACTGTCATCCTTCATCTCTGCCTCCCCAGCAGCTAGGATTACAGGTTTGAGCCACTGTGACTAATGATGTAGTCAGATTCTATGGGCCTTCTCACAGAATTGAATTTGATGAAATTTTTTGTACTCCAACTTTCTCCTTTAAAGGTGTCATGTTTCCAATTTTCTTAAAACAAGAATGCAGCTTGGTGCTGGTGATTCACACCTATAAACCCTAGCTACTCAAGCGGCTAAGATCCAAGGATCACAGTTCAAGTGATGGAGGCTCAAGTGATACAGCACTAGTCTTAAGAACAAAAACTCAGGGACAATGCCCAGGCCCTGAGTTCAAGCCCCAAGACCAGCCCCCTCCCCCAAAAAAAACCCACAAACCAAGAATGCAGAAAGTATCATTCTGTCTATTAATCCAATATAGTTCTCTAAATACATTCTGTCTTAGACTATACAGACAGCACAGGCAACTAAAACAAGAATAAATCGTACTACGGAAAGTTCAAGTAGGATAAACAATCTGGCTGGGAAGGTGGCTCAGTGGTAGAGTGCTTGCCTTGCATGCATAAGGCCCCGAGTTCAATTCCTCAGCACCACATAAGCAGAAAAAGCTGGAAGTGGCGCTGTGGCTCAAGTGGTAGAGTGCTAGCCTTGAGCTGAAGAGCTCAGGTACAGCGCCCAGGCCCAGAGTTCAAGCCCCACGACCAACAACAAAAATAATAATAAAATAAATAAATAAAGATAAACATTCAGTGCACACATCATTAGTCCATCACAGTGACTAACAACTAAGTCGTCATTCCTTACCAATGTCTTTCAATAAATGTTACGGTCTGACACTACAAGAAGGACTCACAAGACATAGTGGCTCACCGTTCTCTGCTCATCCCCCTCTCGGATGTGGAATGTGTGTTCAAGCACAGTGTACATGATCCTGCCCAGGCCAAAGGAGGGTTCGATGACACTTGGGACAACTTCTTCCACTGAAGAAAAGAGAAAATCAATGGCATTGTCTCATATACCACACATCTTCTCCCAAACAATCCTTAGTTCTTAGGGTATCTCTATTCTAGATGCATCTGATCTCTGTACATCAGAACACTGACAAAAAGCTATTCGCTGGCAGGAAATAAGACACATTTCAGGAGAAAGTTGGAGTACAAAAAAATTCACCAAATTCAGTTCTCTGCTAATAGAGCATAAATATGAAAACTTGAGTTACAGGAGCATCGTTCTTGTTGGTTAAGTAATAAAACTGCAGCTGCATGACTCCTACTATCTGCCCTGTCTCTCCAAAATGCCTAAGAAATTGAGCTTTCATTAAGACTTCGATAAATTAAAAATTACCACCATAACTGACATAATTAACAAAAATAATTCCTACCCAGGAACCACCTATGGCTCAGGCCTATAATCCTAGCTACTCAGGAGGTTAAAATCTAAGGATAGTGGTTCAAACCCAGATAGGGTAAGAAAGTCAATTTATCATCCTCCCTTCTCTATCCCCCTGCCCCCCAAAAATCTAAGCTTAAGTGGAGCTGTGGCTCAAATGGTAGAGTACTAGCCTTGAGCAAAAGAGCTTAGAGACAGCATTCAGGGCCCAAGGTCAAGCACCAGGCCTGGCATCAAGAAAAAAAAAAATCCTACATACAAGTATCCATGGTTCACGTTTTGACTTTTTGAGCTTGTTATCTGGTGTGAACTCATTTGGGAGCCAGGTTATCATGGCTGTCTCTAACATTCTGGAGTTAGGAGGCCCCTTAGAGGTCAAATTCCATCACATATTATTTCCAGGGGCCCTACAGCCCTCCCCACTGGTGAGACAACCTATGTTACATGGGGAGACCACATTAACTTTCATTTTGAACAGCACTAGGCACTGTCTAGCATTAAGTTAACTGACTGAGCCCTTTATGGGACCAAATCATTTGTCTGAGATAAAGGAGTCATTATCATGTTGCAACCAAATGTTCCTTCTCCTGGTTATAGTGCATTTTGTTTTGATTGTAACTTCTCCACACTCACCACACTAAAGACACATCCTAAGTTGTAGTAATAAGTCTGCCCACACACTATAAAATGAAGAGTAATGACACATTTTAGAAATATAATCAAGAAGTCCAGGAAATGAAAACATGTTTTTGTTGTTGTTGTCATTGGTAGTGGTCGTATTTGGTTTTACTTTTGGAATTTCTATTTTAGGAGGACAAAGGAGAGGTGCAGAAAGGGAGTGAGGAAGGATGAACAAATGCAATCATACTATTCAATATCCACTATGTGGAAAATAAACTATGCAACTCATGGGCAAGGGCAGGAGGGAGAAACTGGGGAAAAGGGAAGGAAAGGGAGACATTGCCCAAAAAGGAAAAGCAGCCAGGTGCTGGTGGCTCACACCTGTAATCCTCGCTACTCAGGGAGCTGAGATCTGAGGATACCATTGCAAAGTCAACCCAGGCAGGAAAATCTGTGAGACTTTTATCTCCAATAAACCACCAGAAAATTGGAAGTGGTGCTAGGGCTCAAAATGGCAGCGTGCTAGCCTTGAGCAAAAAAGCTCAGGGACAGCACTCAGACCCTAAGGTCAAGCCCCATGACAAAAAAAAAAAAAGTATTCATTACTTGACTTATGGAATGGTAACCCTCTGTACAACACCTTGATAATAACAATAATAAGATAGTATCTAAAAAGAGGATTACAAGGCATTTTCTGCCCATCCTGCTGTATCTGAGTTACAGTGAAATTGAGCTCTGCAGAAGCTGCACTAAGAGGACAACAGACTCAAGGTCATAGGAGCCTCTCCTCAACCCCAGCCCTGCTCACTGGGCCTGACACTGCCTGCCAAAAACAAATGCAGAGGCAGGTTGTCTCATTACCAGCAACAGCTTATGACACACCTACCACTGCTTCTAGGAGCTTCATTTCAGCCATATGTTACAAAATACATCATGTAAATCTACATAATTTGTTCTACAAAAAAAGCAGTGGTTTTTTTTTAAGGATCATAAAAGGTCATAGATTTAAATGTCCCTTTTTTTTTTTTGCAGTTCTGGGGATTAGGCAGGTGCTCTATCGCTTATGCCATGCCTCCAGTCCTTTTTTCCCTTGGTTATTTTTGAGGTATGGTCCTACCCTGGGTTGCTGGAGATTGTAGACACAGGCCATTGCACCAGCACTGCTTCCACTAGAGCTGGATAACAGGCACGTTTCACCCAGGCATTGAGATAGTCCCACAAACTTCCTTTTTATTTATTTTATTTTATTATTATTTATTTTTTTGCCTAGGCTGACCTCATTATGATGCTCTGATACCTACCTCCCAAAGTAGCCAAGATTACAGGTCTGAGCCACTTTGCCCAGCCTAAATGTTGTTTAATATGTTATTTTGTCAAAAAAGGCGGAAGCTCTAGGCTCCATGTTTTGCTCAAGAAAGATTTTCCTCAAAGTTACAAAAAAGTTTTTAATCAAAACTATTCTTCCGGGCTGGGAAGGTGGCTCAGTGGTAGAGCGCTTGCCTTGCATGCCTGAGGCCCTGGGTTCGATTCCTCAGCACCACATAAGCAAAAAGAAAAAAG